AGACCAGGCCAGGCTGCTGCAGGACACTGAGAGCTACTCTGTCTAAAACAGGGGCAGGAAGACCAGGCCAGGCTGCTGCAGGACACTGAGAGGTACTCTGTCTAAAAAAGAAAGAAGAAAAAGAACAAAAAAATGTGATGTAACTCAGCCATATCGACTACCAGCTACAATGCTACCACATGGAAAGTGGAGGCGGGCTCACACCCTCGTCCTTGGCTACCTGGCAAGTTTAAACCTAGTTGGGAAGCACGGGACTTTCTTTAAAGTGTTTGGCTTTTTTTTTTTTTTTAACTGTTTTACTGTTTGCTTGTTTGTTTTGTTCTCTCTGTTTTGTCTGTCTGTTTTTCAGTTGCTTGTTTTCAGAGGGGAAAAAAAGGTGTGGATTTGGATGGGGGAGGATTTAGGGGGAGTTTGGGAAGGGGGGGCATGATCAGAATATGTTATGTGAAAAAAAAACTATTTTAAATTAAAAAATACTGACGTGTGTGTGTGTGTGTGTGTGTATGTGTGTGTGTGTTTCTGATTCTGGGATGAAGCCCAAGGCCACAGCTCAGTCCCTTCACCCTCTTGTCTTGACAGTGCACAAGGGGCCACCAAAGATCCTTGGCTTCTCTAGGCCCTCAGGCTTCCTCTACCCCAACCCCCACACCCCACCCATGACTGTCCCCTTCCAAGGCCTGTGTGAACACTTGTTGACAGACACTACATGAGAGCAGTCTAGCAGACACACACCTATCTGATCCAGTGTTAAGGACACATAAGACCTCCTAAGAGCACTGAGCAATGCGGAACAGGTCCAGCCTCCCTCCGGTGTGCACTGTGTGTATAAACTTCCTGTCCCGCCCGGATGCTCAGGTGCTGCTTGCCCCACACCAGTGTCTCAAGAACCCCAGGATAATCTCAAATTCACCCGTAACTGAAGATGACCTTCCACTTCTGATCCTCCTATTTCTACCTGGACTTCTAGGTGTATGCCACACACAGACAGCCCACCCCTCCCCCAGCTTCCTGCATGTACACAAAGACTCTACCAAGTGAGCCCCATCCCTAGCTGAACTTGGCTCTGAGTGCTTCTGCAGCACAGCTACTCAAAAGACTTGAACTAAAGGGTGACGCCAGGCTGGGAACAGAGTTGCAGTAATTGCTACATTTCTGGCTAGTCTGGGTCTCTAGAGACAAAAGTGTCAGACACTTTAATCCGAGTGCTTGGGAGGTGGAGGCAGGAGGATTGTAATGAGTTTGAGGCCAGTTTGAGCAACAATGTTTCAAAGTGGGTTGGTGCCTCAGGCATGGTAGCATTGTCTGTCAGCCCAGCACCAAGGCTGTGGTGGTAGGAGGATGAGCTGCAGGTTTACTTAAAGGCGCAGGCTCCAGCAAGGGCTGTCATGTGCCAAGATACACACGTACCACCCCAGAGAGCATGCACCAGGAGAGGAGGGTACTCAAAAGTTCATTTAAGTGAGCAGGAGACAGCAGTGGGAGATTACCATGGTCCATGGGATGTAAAGACAGAAATTGTTCAGCTCATACTCCCTGAATACCTCTAGAGGTGGAAAATCACATGGGGCTTTCCCCCCACCTCAAGGAGCTCAGCATCACTGAGAAGGAAAATGTCCTGGAATTGAGTGTGCACCTGAAAGCAACTAAACACCACTCAATTGCACACTTTCAAAGAGCAGGGTTGGGGCCAGCAGAATGGCTCAACAGGCATAGGTGTTCGCCACTGAGCCTGACCTCCAGGACCTGCAGCGGCAGGAGAGAGCGGACGTTCACACTGTCCTGTGACAGACACGTGCACGGTAGCATTTACACTAGTGTTACTCCATACACACGTCACCATCTTTTTTTTTTTTTTAGATTTATTTATTTTATGTAAGTACACTGTAGCTGTCCAGACACCCCAGAAAAGGGCATCAGATCTCATTTCAGATGGTTGTGAGCCACCATGTGGTTTCTGGGAATTGAACTCATGACCTCTGGAAGAGCAGACTGTGCTCTTAACCACTGAGCCATCTCTCCAGCACCACATGTAACAATCTTAAAAATAAAAACAAAAGATCATAGAGGAGTAGCCAGCTGTGCAGGAAACTGAGGCAGGAGGGTCACATAAACCCAAGAGTTTGTAATAGAATATCAAGATCTGGCCTCAAAAACATATGTTATGTGTATCTTAAAGATCGGCTTATTTTATGTGTGTGTTTTGCCTACACCATGTGTGCATGGTGTCCGGGAACCAGAGACAATGTTTGTTTTGGAACTAGGTTCAAGATCTGTTGTGAGCTGCCATGTGGGTGCTGAGTCTTCTTCAGGATCAGGGAGTGCTCCCTACCTACTTAGCCATGGTCTCCGCAGTACAGGTGGTACATGTACATTTTACCACTATCCTTTTTTTTTTTCCACAAATGTTTTGAGGCAGGGCTCATGGAATTCAGGCTAATCTAGAACTCATTATATAGCCAAGGCTGTCTTTGAACACCTGACTCCACCCCTCAATGTCTGCCCTGTATCCCCCCTGGAATCAACAGACATGGCTACCAGACCTGGCTACCAACCCACCTTCTCCTCATAGGATAGACCTCCTGGTACTTTTGACAGCAGACTAAGTTAAGCAAGTAGTTATTCATTCTGGCTCAATACAAAACCGGATTCCCAGGTCACAGCACACACCTGCAGTCAGGGTCACAGCAGGCTGCCGGCAGTGAGCACCTCCAGGGCATCCCAGCAGCTCCAACCACTGCAGGGACAATTACTTGAACTCCAAAGCATTCCCAAAGGAGCAGCACCAAACTTTCATATTAGCGATGGTATCTCCCACACAGACCAACACACCCCACTAAGAAACAACTGCAAGGCCCAACCCCTAGTAAGAGCCTGCACCCCAAACCCAATCTCAAGCTAAGAACCAGAAAGCCTTCCTTCTGAGAACAGATTAGTCTATGTTGAGAAAGAAGCCAGGCATGGTAGTGCATGCCTTTGGTACCAGCAGCTGGATGGATCTCTGTGATGTCCAAGACCAGCCAGAGGTACATTGGAGACCCTATCTCAAATAAATAAATAAATAAATAAATAAATAAATAAATAAACCTGGTCTACAGAGCAAGTTCCAGGACAACCAGGGCTAAATAGAGAAAGCCCTGAGGTGAAAACAGAACACTCACTGCTCTTCAGAGGAGGCCAGTTGACTCTCAGAACCTGCATGACAGCTCACAGTTCTAATCAGCTCCAGGACCCAAGCATCTGACATCCTCTTCTGGCCACCAAGAGTACCACAATCTCACATAGTATACAAATAAAACACTTACACATGAAATAACTAAACACTGAATGTACCGCTTTCTCTTTAGTCCACTGCTGAAAGGCAAACACGCATCACCACGTGCCCGTGTTGATTTCTCCAGAGGAACCGGCCGAAGAGCAAGAGGCACTTACAGCACAGGCTTCCGGAGAGGAAGGAGACTTTGGAAACACAATCTTAGTTTTTATTTTGTTGTGTTTTAAAACAGAGTTTCTCTCTAGGTAGCCCTGGCTGCCCTGAAACTCACTCTGTATGCTGGCCTTGAACTCAGAGACCCTCCTGCCTCTGCCTCCCAAGTGCTGGGTCAATAGGTGTGTACCACCACCACCTGGTTGACTAGAAGCATCTTAACGGTGTACTAAAAGGAAATGACGAAATAAATTCTTTAAGTGTTCTTTAATTCCAGCACTCTAGAAGTCACCAGATGCCCTAGAGCTGGAGTTACAGACAGTTGTGAGCCACCTTGTAGAGGGTGGGAACTCAACCTGGGTCCTCTGGTAAAGCACCCAGTGCTCCTTACTGCTGAGTTACCTCCCCAGGCCCCCAAAAGTAAGTTCTTACATTTTTTTAAGTTATACATATAGGTGTGTGTGTGTGTGTCAGTGGGTACATGTATGTATATATATGTTACAGATCCCCAGAGTTCAGAAAAGGGTACTGGGTTCCCCGAAGCTAGAGTTACAAATGGGCATGGACCACTGATATGCTAGATGCTGGGAATTGAACCTGGGACTTCCTGAAGAGCAGCAAATGCTCGTAACCACTCTCCAGCTCCAAGTTAGTTTTTCTAGGTTGAAGGGATAGCCAGTGATGTGGAACTTGCGTAAGCTGAGAGGCAACGCGTTTGGTCCCCAGGACCTCCTAACACTTCTACTGACTTCTGACTCGTTCCTCTGCTGCAGTAGTGACCCGGGCCGATATATACCAGGCGACCACTGTGCCCTGGAGCAAGGAGCAGCACCCACCCACCCTCCTAACTGGGTTTGTGTTGTACATGCGCAACTGTTTTTAGGATCTCATTTGTATTTATGTGTGCATGTGCATCTAGGTGTTGTGTGCTGGAGTCTTCAGAAGAGGACATTAGTTCCCCTAGGGCTGCCATTACATGCAGCTGTGAGTGGCTCAGCCTCAGTGCTAGACTCAAAGCCATGTCCTCAGAAAGAGCAAAAGGCTTTTCTTCCTGTTGTTACTTAGTTTTACATACATGGATGTTTTTCCCCGTGTATGTTTATGCACATGTGTGCTGTGCATGCAGATACCAGAAGAGGGCGTCAGATCCCCTGGAACTGGACTTAAGATGAATTTGAGTCACCATGTGGGTGCTGGGAATCTAACCCGGGTCCTCTGCAAGAGAAGCCAGTGCTCTTAACTGTTGCTGAGTTAGCTCTCCAGCCTGTTTTTAAAACAAGGTCTCATATAGCCCAGGCTGATCTCGAACCTCTGATTCTCCTGCCTCCACTCTCCAAGTGCCAGAATTGTAAGTATTTCCACCTCTTTTCCAATCCAATTTTCCCTAAATTTTAGACATAAACCACTGATACCAAGAGGAAAAGTAGCCCTCAGGTGTTGGGAGCCGACTCTTAGCCGAAAGTGGCTATCATCTTTACAGCCATCTCGAGCCATATACCCTGACAAGAGACTTGTTTCAACAGCCTGCAATAGCTGAGCGCACTCTGATAAACATCTTGTTACACTGTTTAGTGCCCCCAGCTGCCAGGTGCTCCTGGTATCCATGGCTACAAGGCACGTGACGTAGTGGCTTCAGTTGAGATTGTCCATGAGGGCAAGTCACGTGGTAAAGGGTATAAATACCCAGGATTTCCCTTCTATAGGGGAGTAGAGGAGTAGAGGAGTAGAGGAGTAGAGGAGTCGAGGAGGAGGAGGTAGAAAGTAGGAGGTAGTAAGTAGTAGGAGGTAGTAGGAAGTAGGAAGTAGAGGAAGGAGAGAGAAAAGTGAGAGGTGTCAGGAGACTGAAGGAGTGAGAATATAGTAAGAAGAGAGGAGAATAAAGAAGACTTGAAGAGACTCCACCGGACTCTGGCTTGTATCTATCTTTTGCGTCTCTCGCCCCTTTTTTCCCCTTCCTCCGTCCCCACTTTCTCTCTTGCTAGACCCTGACCTGCCGACCGGAGCAGCAGAACCGGCCGGCCTTTACAAAGTAACAGAACCCGACGGCCGTTACAAAAGAAACGGCAGTTACACTCAGGTTCTGCTGTCTCCTGAATTCTCACAACTAATCAAGCAGGCAGGGGTGCTTACAGCCAAGCCCAGACACGTGAGTGTCACCCATAGGACTCACATGGTAGACAGAAACTACCGACTCCCAAAAACTGTCCTCCGACTTCACACTCTCAAGCAATGCATCAGTAAACAAAATACAATGAAAATTTCAGGAGTCAGAATCTCCTTCAGGAGTCAGGAGATCCTCTCTCCATCGTGAAGAGGGCCCTTGAGGCAGAGGCAGGCAGATTTCCGAGTTCAAGGCCAGCCTGGTCTACAGAGTGAGTTCCAGGACAGCCAGGGTTATACAGAGAAACCCTGTCTCGAAAAACCAAAAAAAAAAAAAAAAAAAAAACCAGCCAAATATCTACCATTCACAAAAAAAATTCTTCCAAAAATGGCTCAGCTGGTAAAGGCACCTGGCCAAGCATGACACCATTGAGTTGGATTCCCAGGACCCATATAGCGCAAGGAAATAACTAACTTGTACAAAGTTATCCTCTGACCTCCACAGGTGCTGTGGCACATGCATGCTCCACCACATAAATTAAACAAATGTCATTTAACAACAACATGGAACCCCTAAGAGTTTTGTTTTCCTGGTTTGCTTTTGTTGTTTGTTTTGGTTGTTTGTTTTTTATTTTCTCCCCAGAGACTGGAGAAAGTCTAACGCGAAAGCATCCGTGAGTTAGTTTTTGCATTAAAACATGAAAACACAATACTGAACCCCGACCTTCCCGCCCGCGCTGCCGGTAGCGGGCCCGCGCCCTCACCGTCTCCCCGCAGATGCCCTGGACGCTCCTCCACTGCGAGGGCACGGACGCCACGCCCAGGGTCTCATCCTGCAGAGGTGCCGGCCGTCCCCGCCACTCCGCGCCGCCAGCCCCGCCAGCCCCGCCAGCAGCCAGCGCAGCAGCTCCAGCGCTTCCAATCCGCCGAAAAGGCCTGGGCGACGCGCGCATTGCCATGGCGACCGCCCCGCCCTCTCGCGCCTGCGCCCTGAAACGTGACCGCTGCCGGCTTCGCCCACACAAACGGAAGTTCGAAAAGAGGAAGTGAAGCTGTCGGCTCCGTTTTTGAACTGGTTACAGCATCGTCTTTAAGACCCAGAAGAAAAAAATGAGGATGTTTAGCAGCCAATACAACAAAACGGCAGTAGTTTGGAACTGTCCTATTCCTAGAGGCCGTTTTGGAGCCGGAAACAGTTCTTCGTGCTGCAAGGAAAAAAAGCGGAAGTGAGGCGTGGGCTCCAGGTTCAAAGATGGCGCTGGGCGGCCCGGGGCAGAGGCGAGGACCGCCTACTGCGGCCTATTGGGCTATGCTGGTCCGGAGACCCTGCTGAGCTGGAAGCAGCCGAGTACACCTTCACCGTACTTTGCGCCGTTTAAGTTGGCTGCATTTCCAGTGAATGGAATGATAAAATATTCAGACACAGATCGAAAGTGGGGTTGAATGGATGGGAGGCCCAATGAGAAATTTACATAAACAATAAATAAATAAAATTCTTGTTAAATTAAAATTAGAGACTAACCACAGGGGATGAAGTTGAGCTCAATGATAGATTGCCCCAGGTTCAGTCCTCAACACACACCCACACACAAAGGGCACAACTACCAGTTAATGAGTGCCTACAGTGTGTCAAGCAAAAAGCAAAGCATCCTAAGTCTTATGAACGTTTATCTTATTAAATCCTTAGCCTACAGAAGCAACTATATGCTTGCTTGTTAGTTGGCTGATTTGCCTTTTGAAGTGCTGGGGTTGAACCCCGGGGCTTCCTGCATTCTACCAACGAGCCCCCCCATGGCTCAATTGTTATTACTCATGCCTCTTGAGTGTGTTTACAGTCAGATATGGAACTGCCCAAAGTCACCCACTACAGTGGCCTGCCTGATCCCTAAACCAAGCCCGAGCCTCTAGACAATCATCTACTAGTTTAGTCCTCTGGATCTATTTCCTCTTTTCTGAGACTGGGAAGCCTGCCGAGGTCTAGTTCTCAGTGCACCACCCAGGGACAGGATCCTCCTCAGCAGAGCAGCCAAGGCCAGGAAAGCCGATTAGATTAACAGCACTGGGAGGGGTAATAAAAAGCAATAGAAAAGTCTTTCTAAGAAGGACTACTTTGCAAACATCAACAAGAATTCCAAAAATCACACTTGGGACCCAAAGGTTAAGAGCACTGGTTGCTTACTTTTCCAAGGCACTCAGGTTCAATTCCCAGTACCCACCTGGCAGCTAATAACTGTCTGCAAATCCAGTTCCAGGGAGATCTGACACTCTTTTCCGGCCTGTGAAGGACCTAAACATGCACTTGATGTGCAGTCATACATGCAGGCAAAACATCCATAGACATAAAATAAAAATAATGATATTTAATTTAAAAAAAAAACACACTTTAAAAGCCCAAAGTTGTGAGATTCCTGGAGTAATGTCTAAAAACAGGCTTGGAACCAACCTTGTCCAGCCTAACTGGACAAAGAGCATTAGAAGAGGCTTTCTTCACCTGGTCAAGGGAGAGGAGACAAAGTTCAAGGTATCAAACTTGACAAACAGCTCAATAAAGATGAGACTAGCCGTGAGAATATGTCAGCCTAACATCTGGGAGACTGGATTCTACCCTAACAGAAGTGAGATGTTTATATATATTGACAGTAGCTTGAGAATCCAGGAGTGTCCCGGCACACAGTGTTTATTGAATAGGTAGGAATGCTGTAGATAGTGTTCAGCCTATGCTCTCCACTTGAGATGTAAAGACAAGAGAAACCAAAAAAGGTTCATTTTTTTTGTTCTGTTTTGTTGGGTTTCTTTTCTCCTTGTCTTTTGTTTGTTTTGTCTTTGAGACAGGGTCTCACTGTGTAGTTCTGGCTAACTGGGAATGCACTACATACTAATTGAGGCTGGCCTCAAACTCACAGAGAACAGCCTGGCTCTGCCTTCCAGATGTGTGCAACATCATACCCAGCCTTTGTTTTTTTTTGAAGCAGGGTCCCTTGCAGCTCAGGGTGACCCTCAGACTCATTATGTAGCTGAAAATGGCCTTGAACCTTGGATCTTTCTGCTTCTACATCCTAAGTGCTGGGATTACAGGTATGTCGCACCATATCTAGTTTTGTTTTGTTTTTTTATTGTTGCTTTTTGGGCACTTGTTTTGTTTTGTCTTGGTGTGGGTTTGGTTTTTTTGTTGTTGTTGTTGTTTGGGTTTTTTTGGTTTGGTTTTTCGAGACAGGGTTTCTCTGTGTAGCCCTGGCTGTCCTGGAACTCACTCCGTAGACCAGGCTAGCCTCGAACTCTCGAACTCAGAAATCCACGCCCGCCTCTGCCTCCCAAGTGTTGGGATTAAAGTCATGCGCTCCCACCACCCGGCTGGGTTTGTTTTTTTGAAACGGAGTTTCTCAGTTGTTTTCTTGACCAGAAACTCAGATCTACCTGCCTCTGCCTCCTGAATGCCAGGGATTAAAGGCATGTGCACCACCCCCAGCACATTACCTATTTTTTTAAAAGGGGGTGTGGGGTGTGGGGGTTGTCTTTCTAAAACACAGTAAACAATAGGTATTTGATTAGTTATTGCAGGCAGGGTACAGAGCCTCCTATGGCCATTAAGTAGGCAATGTTTGAGCACATCTTTAATCCCAGAACTCAGGAAGCAGAGGCAGGTAGGTCTCTGAGTTTGAGGCCTGATCTACAAAGTGAGTTCTAAGACAGCCAGGGGTACACAGAGAAAACCTGTCTGCCTCCGGAAAAAAAAAATAAAAATTAAGGCAAGCAAATAAGTTGCCTGTTTAGGAATTTTTGTGTTGTTTGTTTTGTTTTTGTTTTTCTGTGTAACTGCCTGGGGTGTTCTCAAACTCACTACATAGACCAGGCTGAACTCAGAGGTCAGTCTTCCTTTACCTCCTGAATACTGGGCACCACCACCAACCACCTAGTCTGTTTTGGAATTCTTTTTTTTTTGTTTTTTCGAGACAGGGTTTCTCTGTGTAGCCCTGGCTGTCCTGGAACTCACTCTGTAGACCAGGCTGGCCTCTAACTCAGAAATCTGCCTGTCTCTGCCTCCCAAGTGCTGGGATTAAAGGTGTGCGCCACTGCCGCCCATCTAGGCTTTGTGGATTTTTGACAACCACTGTCTACCCCTAAAATCTCCTCCTCCTCCTCCTCCTCCTCCTCCTCCTCCTCCTCCTCCTCCTCTTCTTCCTCTTCCTCTTCCTCTTCCTCTTCCTTCTCCTCCTCCTTTTCTTCCTTCTCCTCCTCATCTCCTTCCTCCTCCACCTCCTCTTCTTCCTCCTCTACCGCCACCACTGTTGTGCTACTTCAAATAACTACAAAGAAAGAAAACAAAACTTAAGCCTCTCAGAAATAATAGCAACACTTAGGGTCTATTCTAATGAGAGCTTTACAACAGGATTTCACATTGCAGGCAAGGAGTGTGGAACTCATGATATAGTTGAAGGCTAGCTGTCCTCAGACTCATGGTAGTTCTCCTGCCTCAGCTTCCTGTGTTCTGCTATGACGTGTATGAGGTACCATAACTGAATTTAAAGAATTCCAAAACAGGCTGGGCGGTGGTGGTGGCGCACGCCTTTAATCCCAGCACTTGGGAGGCAGAGACAGGCGGGTTTCTGAGTTCGAGGCCAGCCTGGTCTACAGAGTGAGTTCCAGGACAGCCAGGGCTGCACAGAGAAACCCTGTCTCGAAAAACAACAACAACAAAAAAAATCCACAAAGCCTGGGTCAAGTCCCTGGGGCAGAAAGAGAAGGAGGGGGGAGTAGGGGGAAAGGAAAGAAATTGTCTTCACCTTTTTAAAGATGTATATGGTTTCAGGTATGGCAGGGACAGTGTTTTGCCTGGATGTGTGTCTGTGCACCATGTGTGCACCTGGTGCCCAAGGAGGTCAGAAAATCTGACAGATCTCTTGGAACTGGAGTTACAGACACCATGAGGCACCATGTGGAGGCTGGGAACTGAACCCAGGTCCTCTGCAAGAGCAACAAATGGGGCTGGAGATATGGCTCAGTAGTTAAGAGCACTGACTGCTCTTCCAGAGGTCCTGAGTTCAATTCCCAACAACCGCCTGGTGCCTCACAACCATCTGTAATGGAATCTGATGCCCTCTTCTGGTGTGTATCTGAAGACAGCTACAGTGTACTCATATAAATAAATAAATAAATAAATAAATAAATAAATAAATAAGATTTAGCCGGGCAGTGGTGGCTTATACCTTTAATCCCAACACTTCGGAGGCAGAGGCAGGTGGATTTCTGAGTTCGAGGCCAGCCTGGTCTACAGAGTGAGTTCCAGGACAGCCAGAGCTACACAGAGAAACCCTGTCTCGAAAAGATCAAAAAAGAAAAAAGAAAAGAAAAAACAAAATAATAATAATATTTTTTTAAAAAGAGCGACAAATGTTCTTAACCTCTGAGTCATCTCTTCAGTCCTAAAAAATAAACCTTTAGCTGTGGGCTAGAGTTCTGGAGATAGGAAAGTGTAGGCACTTTGTTGTGGTAAAGGCAGAACACTTGAGGAGAAGAGGTTTTGGGATGCCTGTGCTGGTGGGTTGAAGGGTTGAAACTATACAAGGAGGTTCATCAAATCAACTTTTTTTTTTTTTGAGGCAAGGTCTTGGTATGTAGCCCTGGCTGCCCTATAACCCACTATGTAATGCAGACCAGACTGGCCTTGAGTGCAGAGATCCGTCTGCCTCTGTCCCCAGAGTGCTGGGATTACAGGCGCACAGCACTTATGTCAGGATGTTAACAGTTTTTAAAGAGGGTTAGAGAAGTGGGTGGCTCCGTGGTGACGAGCGCCTGTCGCCTTGCAGAGAGCCCAGATTTGGTTCCCAGCAGGTCCCAGTGGCTCACAACCATCTGTAACTCCAGTTCCAGGGGATCGAATGTCCTCTTCTAACCAACTTGAGCACCCAGCATGTCATGTATGTAGTGTACGAGAAACATATTTTCAGGTAAAACATTCACATATAAAAATGAATAAATTGTTGGGTGGTGGTGGCGCACGCCTTTAATCCCGGCACTTGGGAGGCAGAGGCAGGCAGATTTCTGAGTTCGAAGCCAGCCTGGTCTACAGAGTGAGTTCCAGGACAGCCAGGACTACACAGAGAAACCCTGTCTCGAAAAAGAAAAAAAAATGAA